ATGATGATACATGGTGATGATGATGATGATGCTACATGACAGCGATAATGCATGATGGTAAAAACGATGATACATGTAAGATGATAGTGATAATGGCATTAACCCATTTCAAAAGCAAGAACACAAAACCCCAGGTACCCAGCAATACAGACAAGTGCTTACCTTTAACTTTTTGAGTTCTTTTCGCGCGTTCATACGCCTCACACAAGACTGCAAGAAAATAATCTTCTTGAAGTAGTTTCTATACTTCTGCCTTCCTTTGTAACCACGCCAGCAGCGTTGAATGACGCCAGCTTTGGAGTCGTATAACAACTGTCGCCTCAGCCTCCTCGCGAACATACCGCGCGTGTAGGCCTGGATCGTGATTGCGCAATGCCGGAAGTACTCGTAGGCATTGCGGCAGCGGTAACCTCGCCAATATCGCTGGATGGTGACCGCTGATTTGTTGCGACGAAGATYGCGGGCTCGTCTGTAATAAAAAAAAGTTTATATTGTACATTCTTTTAAAGACCCCTTGCACTGAGTCCCTCGAGGAATTGTTCTGGGGGACAAAACAATGGATTTATTTTTGCATAAGCAAAGATTAGCCCTATTGTTTTGTCCCCCAGAACAATTCTTCTAGGAATTCAATGCAAGGGGTCTATTTTAACTTCACTGTAATATGATCAATAGACCCAATCTGTTGTTCTGCCATTTCACGTCCGGGATTGAGTATGACTTCTTTCTTGGCGGTAACAGTCCAGACCCCGTGTTCCCTTCCCCTCTATGTGGTTAGCACTCGTTCGCATGGACCAAAAGGACCTTCGAGTGTCTAACAACAGAACGAATATATTGTGTTACTACCTCGTTCTATTGTTTAATAATCCATTGAGCTTTTTCACTCACGTGAGAAGACAGCCATAAACAATAGAAACTTTCTGCACAGTATTTGCATAAAAATAGGGTTCAATTCCCGGAGGATAGTACCCCATAATGGCCGCTGTGACGTCACGTGAACGCTCTATAGGTCCTTTAGTCCATGTGAACTAGTAGAGTGCAAACAATTAATCCGTGAAACACTTATTACTAAATAGTACAAAATAGTGCTAATTAAACAATAGAAAACAATGGAATTTGCATGAAATTGTACTATTTACTATTACTAAAGTTTCACGGTTAGAGTGCACGCACTAAATCCGTGAACATTAATTAGTACTAATTAGTACTATTTCATACAGAATCCTTTGTTTTCTATTGTTTATTTATCACCATTTAGTACTAAAAGTTAGTATTTGTTTCACGGGTTTAGTGCGTGCACTCTATATTGTTTGCACTCTACTAAGCCCTACTGCCTAACCCTACCAAGAGCACTGGCCATCTAGATTGCAGGCGCTTACCTCCTTGCTTGATCTCCTCGTACCCAGGCCTGTATGATGATAGCAGCTTTTTTCATTCTAGCGTAATGACGTTTCTCTCGCCAACAGCGGAAATTCTTCTGGATCATCACGCAACTCATGTACAATTTATCTGAACGCAGTTTCTCCAAGTATGCCACCTATGAACGATAATACAATCTATAAAAGGACGTATATTGCGTTCTGGTTGGTTGGGAGCGCGTGCTTTATACGAGCACACAGCACGCACGCGCACTTTCATTCCAATCCAAAATAATAGAATTTGTAGTTTATAAAAGAAATAAGAAACGTGTGTGCTGTGTAGTGTGCAGTTATAAAGAACTTGGGGATAGGTAGATAACTACTCTCGTGTTCCCCAAGCTTATAGAGCAGTTTTCGTATGACTGTGAAAAGTTCACAGCACGAACACGGTCGTGACTCAGCAATGAATACGCCAGACAAATCACATTGCACGAGCATTTACTCTCCATCCAATCAAATACCTGGAACACGGCATAAACAAGGCGCGGACACGGTCACACCAAGATCATGGCACTTTTAGACCAATCATATTGCGCGTGAAAAAAATCAGCCAATTAAAATTCTAGAAAGTAACACGGTCACGGCACGTCACGCTTACGGCACTGAGCTTTTCACAGTCATACGAAAACTACTCTAACTGCATACATCACGCGCCTGCGTTTTCAAGTATGCATTCTATTTACAAAAGATTTAACAATCCAAAAATATCAACGTATCAACTTACTTGTCCAGCTCGAAAAAAGATCTTGGTTTTTCCAAGTTGAAACTTGTCAGGATCCTTTAATAGGAATTAAAAGTTTAGAATATCTCAAACTTGCTGAGGAAACTTTGTTTAATTCAGTGTAAAAGAGAATAAGTTGGCGTGCATTCCTGTGTTCTATGATACAAATATCATCATCATCATCAACAACGTCGTTATCATCATCACCACTGTCATCCATTATCATCATCGTTCATCATTATTCATCATCATCATCACCACTACCACCAGCATTACCATAATCATCATCAACATCATCGTCATTACCATCACCATCGCCACCATCATTATCATTACCACCATCATCACCATAACAATCATAAACATCATCGTCATTTACACCACCATCATCATCATCATTATCACCACCACCATCATCATCATCACCACCATCACCACCATCATCATCATCATCATCACCATCATCATCACCATCATCACCATCATCACCACCATCATCACCATCATCATCACCACCAGCATCATCACCATCATCATCACCACTATTATCATCATCATCACCATCATCATCACCACCATCATCATTACTATCATTACCATCATCAATACTATCACATTACCATTATTTTTATCACCTTGATAAAGTGTTCCAAGATTATCCTGATAGTCTCCCTTGGTTTCTTTCGATTAATTTTCTTAAATTCCAACAGCATCTTGTACCGCGCGAAGAATTCCGAGTACGTCCACCGAGAAGGATATCCTGCCGCACTGATCCGAACGGTTTCCAAGACACCACACGCTCGAAGCTGTTGTATAGTACGCTTGGGACTATATTGAAAGGCTTTCTTGTAATCATTAGGTTTGATGCACCTGATGTAGTGGGGAGTAGTGCTGTTCAACGTGTCCATGAGCTTGCCCAGTGAACTAGTGAACTATAGTGAAATGTAAGGGATGATATTAGTGAAGAACTGACGATGCTGGTGTTCTTATGTAAGGTTCATTTGCTTGTTTCTTTCTTCCTTCTTTCATCCCTCTCTTTTTTCCTTGCTTCCTCTCGTTGCCCTTCAACCCATCCATTTATCATTCCCCACCAATCCAACCATCGTTCTTTCTTTCTTGCTACCATGCATAGGGTGGTTCTTGACTTGAAAGTTTTAAGTGCTTCAACATTCCTCCCTTCTTCCTTCCCTCCCTCCTTCCCTCCCTCCTTCCCTCCCTCCCTCCTCCCCTCCCTCCCTTTCATCCATCCATCCATCCATCCTCCATCTCTCATTCCTTCCTTCCCTCATTTCCATTTTCCTTCCTTCTTCTCTTTCCCTCTCTCTCCCATTTCTTCTCTCATCCCCTCACCTCCTGCGACACCGTTCGTTTTGACTTGGAGACATGCTTTCCCGGACGTGACAGAGCTCGCTTCCTTTGCATCGACTGCGCCTCGTGATCGATAAACAGATCACCAACCATCTCCATCTGTGGAAGATGCGCAGATGTATCTGTTAGTATAAGACTATGTCCCCCCCCCCACCCCGAGGATTTCTGGTCCTGGGCATCGATTGTGCCTCGTGATCAACAAACAGGTCACCTACCATCTCCACCCTGACGGAGATGGATATATAGCCATCATTATCTATCCTCCCCCTCGATATCTGATTAGTCCCAACAGCCCCTGACCTAGTACCTTCTTCCTTCCCAGAATCCTTTGGCCTCCCAGTCCGTAACATTTAACTTTCTTTCAGGTTTCATTTACGGTTTCATTTAAAAGGCTTGCTTACTGTTTTAGATAATATCAAACGTTGGAGTCCCAAAAATGTTGAAAATCGGATTTAAGCCGTTCTCATAGGATTTATAATGGCATTTATACCATGCGTTAATGGTATTTTTAAATGATTTTTAATGATGTTTAAGCTTTACTTACGTTATCCAATTGCGCAACTTCTGCCACCAAATCATACTACAAAAACCATACGATCGTCAGTTTATTGATGATTTATTGATAACTATTAATTCCTGATGAGCTGATAAATGTTATCCAACTGTGCAACGTCATCCACCAAATCATACTACAATAACTCGTTTCTACGCTTCGAGTATCCACAAATTAAAAACCATACAATCTTCAGTTTATTGATGATTTAATAATAACTATCAATTCCTGATGAGTTGATAAATGTTATCCAACTACGCAATATTTTTCTGCCACCAAATAATTCTACCAAAACCATAATACGATCGTTTATTAGCATATTAATAATCCATTTATAACTATAAATAATTGATCACTATTATCCAACGCAACTTCTTCCACCAAATCATACTACATAATCCGTAATATAATTTATCCGTTTATTGATAACTTATAAATAATTAATTAATTAATAATTGTCGATAGTATCAGTAGCGTTACTTCGTCACATTGTCATTAATATATTAATAATTTATTTGATGTTAATAATAATTATTGGTAATAATCGTCAATTCATCAGTAGAAGTTTTTAGTGGTTTTCATTGGGGTTATAGTTTATCCATTTTCAAATCACTTCATTCCCTTGAGTATCGTTTCTTTCGTTACCAGTAACATTTGAGTATATTAATAACATGGATTCAACTTGAATATACATGTATAAAATTTTGCGAAAACATTATTTTTTGAGGATGCGATGAAAAAGTCTATAATTTAGATTCATTAAAAGAATAAAGAATGAAGAAAAAGAAGAAGAAAAGGGGAGAAGAAGGTAAAGGAAAATAAGAATAACAATTACAGAATGAATTACAGAATGTTAAAACGTTTTTCGGTGCAATGAAATATGTGTGAGAAATTGCAAAACTGTGCAGTAAAATCATCTTTAAGTATAATGTGTAGTTCCAAAAATTACCCATACCCCCTTACGGAGGAATTTTTTTAAGACACCCCCTACCCCCCGGAAATTCCAATTTTCTTCCATACAAACTCTGTAATTTCTTTTCTTTCTCTTCAACAATAAAAACACTTTGAAATTCCACGGACTTTCACTGGAACACATGAATATTCTACACACAACAGTCCCCCTTCACAGTCCCCTGTGCCATCTTGAAATGTAGCTGTGCCTTTGCATCCAAGCGAGACGAACGGTAAGCTTGCAATGATAGAGACGTGTGAATAATTGTCCAAGGTGTTTTAAAAAGGTCTCTATCATTGCAAGCTCACCGTTCATCTCACTTCGATGCAAAGGCACGGCTACCTTTCAAGATGACACAGGGAACTGTGAAGGGCACTATTGACATGTGTAGTTGATACCCTGAAACAACTGGACTGATCATCTTTCATTCTGATCTGTCCTAATGAGATTTGCTAAACTCACCTCGCTTGCTTTGAGCAATGACAAGTGTTCATCATTGATGGTGTCCCTGTTTTTCTCCACAAAGCCATTCGTATCATACTCAACCATGTCTGCAAAGTGATGTACGATGAATCCCATGTTCGACATCCGTGGTTTTGAGAAATGTTTGCTTGTTTTTAGGTGCTGTTTGTAGAGCTTCTGTGCCCACTTCTCGTCTGATCCTTTTGGCATCTGAATAAAGAGTAATGTGAATAATATTTAGTACGAGTGAAGAAAAAAGTTAGAAATCTGTGATCCATAAAGGAAAAAAGAAAACGAAAGGAAAAGATGAGAAAGGAAAGCGAAAAAGAGGAAAGGTTTAATTATAGATGATAAGAAAGAAAGGAAGGAAGGAAGGAAGGAAGGAATTAAGGAAAGAAGGGAGGAGAGAGGGAGGGAGGGAGGGAGGGATAGAAGGAGACCAAGGGAAAAAGCTAGGATATTTTCATCTTATTGCTTTATAGCTTACAACACATGAAGCCTGCTAGTGAATCGAAACTAACGAAACTTCTAGACCTGAT